AACAAATCTCCGAAAAAAATTTTTTTCACAAATATGACCTTTTGAAGACCTTTTGAAGACCTTTTGAGGATCTTATTAGTACAGAAATAACTATATTTAGAATTTTTTTATCTGAAATTTAACCATGGAAAAGGAAATAACTAGGCATTTCAATGAAACTTTATGTATTTTATATAAATTATGGACATGGTTTTATTTTGCTAAGATTTTTTTAGGAATTCATTAGTTTTGATCTTTATACCTAACCATAATCCCAACTATTCCATCCATATCACAAACCTTAACCCTAAACCTTATGCCAAGTTTTCTTTCCCAATCCTAAACCAAAATCCTAAAACACACAGTGTTGAGATCTGTACCTCACTGTCCATGAGCACTGGCTTTATTCCGAAAAAGGTCACATGGTCAGTCCTGGGACAATCTCTGCGTCTGGTTGTAAGGACTTGGACGAGATGCAGATGCCATCGGTCTCTGTGGACAAAGAAGGTAAAAACAGGATGTGTTTTAGTCTTCAGCAGATATTTGCTGTGTTTAAGACCCTTTTCTGTCCATCTTTATTATTAATGTCCAACAAAAAAGACATCTCATGTGCTGGGCCAAGACAACAAGTTCTAAGACAGAATGGTGTTTTATGTTGAACTAAAACACGTGATAAACCAGTTATGATTTATTTGATTTTACTACTTCAAAACGTAAATTTAAAGGTCCCGCAGTGTAACTGATCGTTAATGCAGAAATAATTTGTATTTGTGTGCGGGAAAAAAAAATTGACGACAGTGCCATAAAAGCAACAATGTTGTGGTATCAGTACAGTCAACTCGGAAATGACATTTAACCCGAAAGGACAGCACGATGTTCAATCGAACGAATGAAATTACGTGCAATAAAAGAAACCCATCCTCAGAGTTTAATTCTTACCTTTCGGTTTTTCAAACATTTGTCTTTTCCGGACGAGCCATCCGCTGTCCTGTCCACAGAGGTGAAAACGCTAGGCCGCAGCAAACGCTACCAGGTTAACTTGACGTCAAAAAGGGTTCATCGAGACAAAAACTAACGCATTAGTGTCCATGATATGGCCGAACATCAAATAAAACTGGTTCATTATGTAGTTTAATTGTAAAAAGTTTGTTTGTGATCAGGTTACCTTTCCCCTTGTGACTTCCACACACACTCGACGACGACCAAATGTTTGTTTGAAAATCAAGAGCGACCATTTCCGGTATAATTTAAAAGCTCTTGCTACGCATGCGCAAGACAGGGAGAGGAAATGACGTAACTTTAATAAAAAAAAAACAAATAAATAGAACATATAAGAGGTTTCTTAATAACATTTAAGACCTCCAATCAAACACGTAGCTTGATAAAATAAACGATCAGAAATATATTTATTTGTTATTATATTCTTTCCCCTAACTGGTCAAGACTTGACGACACTGGATATTTCTCTTCTGCGTTCGTCATTTTTGTATCATTGTTGCGCACTGTGACGTCACATCTGTGAACGTTTATAGTAAGTGTGATATTTAGTTTTTATTTAGTCTTTGGTGAATTTACACCATGTCCTTCACAAGAAAAGAAAAATGTCTTCTAAGTAAACCTACACAGAGTATTTTAAACCAAGTGAGTGTATTTTTGAGTCATTTTGGAGAAACCTTTATTTTTCAAGACATTTTGGGGAAATTATTAGTATAGTATTTCACTGTGATCAAAACTTGCATAGCAAAAAAGTATATTTTTTTCTGGTAAGTTCTGGGACATACAATAAACGACTCTTTTCTTACCATTGTCATTTCACCCATTTGAATATCGTTTTCAAGTGTAACTGATTCAAAAAGCACAGTAGCAGTACATTGTTTGACTAATTTGTATTTTAAGAACATTGCCTGCTGGCACCTTAGGTAGTCCATGGTTAATTACGTTTTGGCACGGTCTAAATGTTTAATAAAAGTCATCAGAGAATAAATAAAAACAAACAACCTTTCCCCAATATATAACTTTATTTAAAATATTGTTACAATTTATTACTCTACACAACATTTTCAAATATTTTTCTCATTTTTTTTTCATACGATGGTTAGTAAACCTTTGTGTTTTTAGGATATAAAACTCTCTGTATTGTAGCCGAGTTCAGCATTGGGTGTTAATTTGACGTCTTTGTAAATACAAAACTGCGTCTTTGTGAAACAGTTTGTGTTTGTGTGTCACGTTGCGGTTGGCTAATCCTCCACACACCCGCTCTAAATACGTTACACACTATCATTTCTGCTTATATAAATAAAAGTTCAGAGTTGGAGAAAGAAGAGTGCATTGTGTCCAAAGCATATTATGTTTTTCTTCTTTTTTTTTTCTTAAACAGCTATTTACAGGTTATGCTAACGGCGGACAAACAGGCTTCGCTGTTGGAAGTGACGTCTCTGCCTACCTGTGGTGGAAAAGCCAACAAACAGGAAAGTTATTACATAAAATGTTAACACTTTTTTTGTTCACAACATAACGTACATCTGTAACGCTATTGGCAAACAGAAGCCAGCAGGTTGACACTGAATGTACACGAGACACAGGGCGTCAGACTGAGCTAATAGGGTAAAAAAGAAAAAAAAAAAGGTCAACATGTCGTGACGTTTGTTTGTCCTCCTGGCTGTTGAGTCGTATAAACACAGGGCTGCATGATATGTGGAGACAGAAGTTTCAATAACTGGTACAGTTATACCCCAGAATTTTTATCTTTCCTTAAAATTGTAAAAAAAATTTGCCTTTGTTTTGAACCCATTTTTTAAATTATCAATTAATCTTTTAGTGTTACTGAAATGAAAATTCAGCACATTCAACCTATTCACTGACTTTCTTATTGGTTACTTGAATGTTGAAAAAAATCTAATTTTAACAAATAGAAAGATGACAAACTACAGTGTCGACCTCAAAAAATGTCCCCACCAATGCTGGGTGAAAAGCAGAAAAACGATAAATTTGGAACATCAAAAAACTTCCGAGTCGTCTGTTGCTCTTTTCTAGAAAATGACTGGTCTAAATGAGATCGATCTCCCATCACATTGGATCTTCTGTATCCAGCCCCATTACTCTGTTGTTTTGCTAATACCGTGCAGCCCTGATATGAGATCCATTCTTCATCTCCACAGAAACACAGACGAGCCACAGCACTGAACACACTGACGGACCACAACAACTCCAGCAGGGGGCGGGCGTACTAAAGGCCTGCTCCTTAACATTCCTGTCATCCCCCTGCTCTCACCTGAGCACCAGCACAATGACACTTATCTCACCCACCAACCAAAACTGATACAGACTGACAATGAGTACAGGACGGCGCCTCCAGCAGACGAAACCAAACAACACAAGAGGTAAGAAAAACAGAAAAGGTGAAACAGCTGCAGGTCGACTTCTAAAAGCTTAGCCACAGATACACGGAGACAGAGACACACACACCCAAATATCTTTTAAAAAAAAATCAAAACAGGGCTCTGAATTCATTATTGTAAGCTAGATGGACAGGAGTGGGAAAAAAAGGAAATAAGCAGGCTGAGCTTATCACATTTCCCCCTGAGGATGGGAGACCAACCTGGAGAGGGTAAAGAACGGAGGACAGGCCACACACCACGCGTTGACACAATCAACGTCCATCTCACTCTCCCTCCTCTGCAGCGTGTGGACAAAAAAAAAACAGCATGCTTGAACAGCTTTATTTCCCATCATCCATCTCTAAATTGCCCATTACTCTGGCTGTCAAAATGACTATCCACAATTTTCTCACTGCAGTCTCTTTCCCAGGTCATTTACTTCTGAGTCAAACATACATCACGCTGCCGGCCACTACACTGTGGCACGTGAGGCCGTGGGCTGTTGTGTGACTGCTGCCTGTCCTTAGAGGCAACAATGCTAACGCTAAAAAGCTCACTAAACAATTTTGTCAAACAGAAACAAGGCTAGGGGGAGGAGGAGGGTGTGTGTGTGTGTGTGAGAGAGAGAGGCAGACAATAGGGGACGGCTCCTCATTTGTCTCCATCACTTTTGCGCTTCCGCTGTCATATTGACACATACGCACACACACCTCTTTATTTTTCAGCCGTGACACTGACAGCCTGTCACAGAGAAACCAGCGAATCATCAGTGTCATTCACAAAGGTAGAGGACGTCCACAAAAGCACAGCAGACACGCCCACGCACACACATGTGAAAAGGTTCAAATTATGACACAAACATCATGATAAGAAGCTGTGACAGTAACACTGAGCTGATCTACAGGTAAAAATGGATGAAACACACACTCTCAGACTTGGGTGAGTAAAAGACATTGGTGGAGAACAACTGCCAACGTTGGTGACAAATAACTGGCAATTTCTTAACAAGTCGGTACACATCCTAAAAATGGAATAAAATTTCAAATCTGTCATTTGTTTAAAAAAAACAAACAACTTAATTCATTAATAGGAGAAGAACTGTTCCTCTGATGACTGGGTCTAAAGGGAGCGTGGACAAAAGGTTGGGCGTCACAAACAAACGTGGGACCAAATAATCTGTGCAAGAAAACTGTGAGAAACAGTAGTTTCTACAGTAGTTTCAGGTAATAAAACGAAGACAAGGGTGGAAACTGCTGCTGAATGTGCTGCAAAAACAGGCAAAAAATAAAACCAAACTCCTCTGAAATTAAATAAAAAATATAAATTAAAAATATTGAGACAGGGCCCCCTGGTGGTTAACTTGCTTCTGTCGTTTTTCTTTTGGAAAATATTGCTGGTTTTGATTCAAAGTGAGTTAAATTGAGATAAATCAGTGTTAACAAACATTTAAAACAAAATTACAGATTTGTAAAGAATGTACCAATCTTTTTGGAAACTAGATTATTTCTAATGTACATATTTATGTTGTCTGAGGAATTAAATCCCATCATTAATCTTGATGAAAAAATGACAACAAAACGAAATTATAACAAAACTAATACTATCATTTCAGACGAGGAGCCTGGATCAGTACACACAGATGGCTGCTACTGTGAACACAATCACACACACACACACACACACACACACACACACCGTCTGTCCTCCTCATGTGGTTAATGGACAAACTGCAGAGCAGGAATACTTTGGGGTGAGTTACAGAGCCCAGGGGAACTCTCAAAGAAGATTTACATTTCTCCACGACATACAACCTCATCTGTCTTACACTGTGCTGCCCTCTGCTGCCTAATCAGAGAACTGCAACTCGGCACAAAAAGCACAGTGAAAACCCGACCAGTTCTGTCCTTGCATTCATAATCTGCTGGTCTGGAACCTGTGGCGTTTGGAGTCAAAGCTCAGAACATTCGTTACATAACTGTTGAACAGAGGAAATTATTTTTTAAAGACTGCAAAACCACTACAAAATACGTCAGACTAGACTGAAAACACTGGTTTTTAACCAATACAAGCTTTCTTTGCTTTTCTTTTTTTGAATTGTACGGTAAGAAGCAAATAGTTAGTGTTTGCTGTGTTAGTTCAAGAAACCAATTAAGGTCATAAACTTTTATCGAATTTCTTTTATCAGACGTACGATTGTTAAAGTCGTATAACTCTGTAGCGGAGCGCCCTCACATCAGTCTTCAGTCGCTTACTTTCTGGTCATTTTGTGACAGTCCCTTCTGACCACATGGATAGATAGAAAACATTATTCTCTGTTAGTGTCCAGCATGAGAGTAAAGCGTTACTGAGCTTTAGTTATATCTGACAGGACTGAACACCCGGTCTCCACCGTAGTCTCCATCCTCACAGACCAGGTCTGCAGGCGACAGTCTCCGTGAGGGACCTGGGTCGTGGCCCCGCCGTGTCACCTTCATCGCCAAGAAGTTCATGGTGCAAAATGCTGTGGTCGGGCCAACCGACCGCACACTTTAGAAACGTCTTACATCTCCACCAGATGGCGAGAGTCAGCTCGTGTCCTGCCACGACTGCATGGTAAAAAAACATGATACACACTATGGAAATCTAGTAGATGAAATGAAAGCTGGCTTTTGTTAGATCTATTTTTTCCTTCATTGCTCTTCTTGCTGTGTGTACATATCCCTGGGTTTGGTCCAGTGTGACTGTTCCAATCTCCAAAAAGTTTTGGGACATGGATGGACGCGGTCCGTCACTCAGGTCTGGGTTTGTAGATGGGCGCTCACTGGGATAGCTGGAATGATGCGGGTGGACCAGTTCTAGTTCGAGTGACGGCTGAGGGTTTTAGGATGTTGCAATCTCTCCCCCTAGGTGGCGCCATCCCTTTTGTTGTGTCTCCAGAGGAGGCAGGAAGTCTAAAGGAAAAAGGTAAAAGACTTTTTTAATAATAATATTAATAAAAGTGGGTTTTGCATGCACACACATATATATAGATATACACAGAGATATTGTACATACACATAGTGTGTATATATATATATATATATATATATATATATACATAGATATATATATAGATAGATAGATAGATAGATAGATATATATATATATATAGATAGATAGATATATATAGATATATATATAGATAGATATATATAGATAGATAGATAGATAGATAGATATACACATATTTGTTTTGTTTTTTTTATCAATGACTTGTACTCAGACTCCAGACTGGTCTTGGAAGAGCCTTGACTTTACAGTGAACTATTACAGGTAATAAAAATGCTGCACCTCCATAAATCTAAACTATTTTATTTTAGGTGTTTTAATCCCTTCACCCTCACCCTCGCAGCTCCTCTCTCTCCTCCTCCCACCCTGCAGTTGCTCATCCACATACCTGTTCGTCTCATCATTCCCCATGGGCTGAATATTGATTCTATGGCCAACACTGTGACACCTGCTCTGGTTCATGTTTGTAGCAGTGAAAATGAAGTGAAGCTCTGGTGAGATCTCTGTACATTCATCTCACTTCTCTCATACTTGGAATCGATTTGATGCAGATGAACCCGTGTGTCCTTATGAGCGATCATCGCCAGGACATATATGACATATATGGTGGCCGTTGGTGCAGTGATAAATCACACCGCATTTGAAACACTCCCCGTGCCCTTGCCCTTTTAATTTTGCCAGTCAGGAGATTTTTGCATAATTCATGGAGACGGATGTGTGCCAGTATTACACCTGACCTACAGATCAGTACCAATGGCTCACTCTTACCGTTGTTACTGCAGTTCTTGTTGTCTTTGTCGGACGCATCTTCTTCGACCTAACATCCAGGGAAACAGCACACAGGAAATGAACAGTAAAACAAGAGTGGTACCTTATTGCATCAGCAGAATTAAAGAGAAATGTAATGTGGATCAGAGATTCGTGTTTCACAGCTGGACTGGAGCCAGAGGCTTCTGAGAAGGAGACAGGAAAGGAGGGGTGCTTTACCTGTTTCCTCCACTTCAGCTCACAAAAGACCCGCTCGAAGCACTCGTGCATGTAGTTGAACTGGGTAGAAGGGAAGAAACAGAAAGACTTCAGTTCAGCCTGATGTTCTAACAGTTACCAGACATGCGTCCATGGTAATATTTGTTATTCTCCTTCGATGACACAGGCATATGAAGTGAAAGATTCTGATGAAAGAGCAGCAGCTTAGCTAACCTGGTGTATTTTGATGTGTTTGTAGTTCTGGTTTCAGAAAGTTCACTTTTTTTGTTTCACTGTTTTTAGAAAAACTCTAATTAAAAATAATCAACAACCGTAACACACTCACATAGGGGGTGAAGATTTTGACCCAGCGTGGTTTCTTCTCCCCTCGGGCGTACTCGAAGCAGAAGGCCATTCCCTCCTCGTCTGTGTCCCAGCGCTGCATCTCTGCCCACTCAAAAGCGATCACCTGGTTCTGTGGAAGTCACAGGAAAGTTGAAGGTTCAATATAACACAAATACAACACAGAGGTAATCTATGAGGGAGAACAATCCTTTTCCTTGTTCCAGAAGTGGAGAGTACAGCCAGTAGGTGGCAGCGATGAAACTCAAAATGTGAGACAGAAAAGGTGAGAGGGTGGGATGACGTTTTATTACCTCGAGCGTGCCGTCCTCAGTACAGGCATGCAGCTTGAAGTGGTTGATGCTGATGGCCGTGATGACATGTCCCTTCCGTCTGGAGTCACAGGAGCAGTGCGGGAACACGACCTCGTTGTAGCCTTCACACGTCCGCAGCAGGCTCAGGTACTGCAACACACGCAGCATTCCAAACACTGTAACCGCAGGCAGCAGCACAAGCCGTGAAAGTCTCCGACGCCAAACAATGTTTGTGTTGTAATTAGAGCGGCTTCAGTTAAACTCCAGAGCATTCACTGGAATGAAAGCTTCACTGGAATGAAAGCGTCCACATCTCCGTTGTATTTGCTTCATTTTCCATTTAAACTGAATTCTGTTCATTGTATATCTTGTATAGTGAAGTCAAACTAAATCCCATAATCCCTTGTGCTCTCACACTCTGTGTACTGTTCAGATTAAAAAAACAACTTTAAATGCATCCACGTTTAAACTATGACACGTCTGCATCTGAATAAATAGCATAATAATAATTAGCTAGAAAAATGCAGAGCTAAGTGCAGCTCCGCTACTCCTTCCCGCCCACCATTTACACAGTCCTGTGTCTTTTACATGCAAATTCTGACTGAGTTTTTTTGCAAATGACACTCATGCAAATGAGTTTTTGCTCTCATATTCGTTTGACTCAGTGTGTCATCAGCTACGGCTGATGTTCTACAAATATGAACGCAGCCCGCCGACTTTGCATTTCTGCCATACAAAAAAGAAGAAGGATTATGTGTTATTCCCGTTCTTATTTACTGACAGCACTGGTCTGCGAGTATAAAAGTGCAGGCGCTTTTCACCAAACAAAGGCTGGTTTGTGGGACTGACCGTGGCCATCTTGCGCTGCTCTGCCAGTTTCTGCAGCTGGTAGGATTTGTCCTCTGTTTTTATGAATCCCTTCTTCACATCATCCAACGCCTGGAAAGACAGGAGGAGGGCGAGAGGGGGTTGGGTGGGTGGATGCAGGGTCAGTGCAACGTGAAGAGATACAACACAGTTTATCTTTGGGGTACGCACAGGAAAATACATTCTGTGCTCTTTTTGACACAAACAAAAAATGAGCTCATAGTTGAATATTTCTCAGATTACCTGTCAGTGACCAAAAAACAGCAGCACAAGAGTGATTTAATTAATGGTATATTATTGTTTATCTGGTATCATGAAGCCCATATCTGTAATTAATTAACCTACATTTCCCTCGGTGTCAGTTAGAGACATGTATATACTTTACCCATAGTAGCCTCAGGAGTAACTTAGTACTTATTTAGCTTGATGTTAAATTTTTAAAATTTTTCTTTTTCAGAAACAATTCTGGCAGTCTGTTTAAATTCCATATTTCTAATAAAAATATGTTCAATAAATCCTAATCCTTGGCCACACACAATTTCCCTTCCATGAGATCAACTTTCATGTCCAATTTCTTTAAGTGCATCTGAGAGTTCAGGCTTGGATCATTGTTATTACCTGGTGAAAGCAGTAGTGCAGCACCAGCGGATTGTCTCGGAGTAACTCCTCCTCCTGGAAGCTAAACAACCATTTACGGAGCGCCAAGCAAGTCCCCGGGACTGCTGAGGTGTAGTTCTGCACATAGAGCTTGTGGGGGAACTCATTAGGTGCCAGCTTTCTTACTGCAACAAGAGAATGAAAACAAAACAAGAGGGAGATAATGATGTAGAGAAACTGTGGAGGAGGAGGTTTCATCATTTAAAAACATAATCCCGTCCCCAAAAATATCCTTGCTGTCCAAAAGTGCAGACATAACCCAGGGCTGAGTTCATTAAAGCAGTGGGAGGCTGCAGGTCTGAACTGAATCATCTGACGGTCACAGAGAAACTACAGTCCAGACTGGAATGTTAAAACAGCGAGCTGTGATTTTTGCTACATGTTCACAACAACAACACACACAGACGCTGTTCTTACCAAAGGTGTGGTTGATGACTTCAAAGAGAGCAAAGTAACTGGCCATAATACTGTCCATTCCAACCTTCATCACTAAGGCCTAGCGTGAGAGAGAGTGAGAGAGTGAGAGAGAGAGAGAGAGAGAGAGAAGGAAACACTTAAAATATACTATTTAAATATAACTGAAGAAGAAGAAAATTATCTTAACAACAATTTACACCTATTGCATCTCCAGACAATTCTCTCACCTCCTTAGAATCAGTCACAAAACAAACTGAGAGCCATTTCAAAGTACAGGCTCATACACTCTTAACACAAATGTTAAAGGTCAAAGGATAAAGGTCAATACAACGGAGAAAGGAGATACTAATATTTAAACTAAATCAGGAGTCTGTTCAGGTCCTACCTGATACACCTGGTCTGTGGTGCTGTTCTTACGGACCCTCACAGAGATGGTGGTCTTGTCAGGCAGAGCTATCCGCAGCTCTACGTCTGTCACTCCGTTGTAGTTCTGCCCGTTTGAGAAAAAACGTCATAAGGAGAGACGTACAGTTTCACTGAGCTACGGTGACCACGGCGTCACTGCTGCGTCACATGTGGGAGTAAACACATGCATGTGTATGGTCAATATGGGAACAGGGAAGAGATTTACCTCATCTGATTCAGAGAGAAACTCCTGCATGATGTCACTCTCCCCGATCACCCGCACAGAGCAGACTACAAACATAAACACGGGGGGGGGGAGAAAGGAGAGAGGAGATTTACAGTCACTGAAGCCACTCTCGGTCTTTTAATATTTCCCATACATAAATCTAGGCTCTGGCATCGACTCTTGATCATTGACATATACTGTATATACAATATATACACAACAGGAAAGCCCAGAGGGTCTGCCCCAGTTAATGAGCAACACAGGCTTTTTATTTAAGCCAACTAACACTTCCATATTACCCTACCTCGCTCCAGATATTCCTCCAGGCCTCGTCGACGAGCGTCCAGCTGCTGCTCAGACAGCGAGAAGGGCCATTTCCCCGGAAGCTTTGGGAAGTTGAAGTTGGAGAACTCTCTCTTCAGGTTCTGGTGCAGGATGGCAAACTCTCTGTAGCGCTTAGAGCAAAGCTGTCGACCCGACATGTACACGTTGTACACCTGCGAAATCAGAAACAGAGATATCAGAGAACACGTCGAGACTGGAACCAGCGTGGTGTTTTTATGGATTTAGGGTCAGAAGCGTCACTCACCACAAACCTCTCGGAGTGCTGCTCTACGTGTTTGTACGTGGGGATTGAAATGGGCACGGCCTGTTTGTCGCTGTAGTCGTAGTTGGGTTGGACGTCTTCTCCTCCCTCGAGTCCATCAGCCTCCTGAGGAGGGACGGAGAGCACGGCCAGGACCAACTCCTTCTCCCCGGCCCGGATCAGGTCCACCACCTGCTTATGGGTGGCACCTTCTACACTCACGCCATTACTGGAAGAAAAATAAGCAACATAGAAAAACAACAAAGAGGAAAGTGAGATGACTTTCAAAGACTGTTTGCTTTTCACATGATTAGTGGGGGTTTTGACAAAGCAGATTCTCTAAATATCACATAAACAGGTCAGGCGTACAACACCGAGCACAGCAATGCCTGACTGGAGTTCTGCCGTGTCAGTATTGTGTGAAATTTATGCAAGCGTGTGTATTAATTCCTGTACATTGTCTCATCATAATGAGGTCATGTTCTATGTTTTGGTCTCCCTTTGATGTAGACAATGTTGGGAGTGTCCAGTATCCAGGTCAGGTCTGATGTCTTTCTTTCCGTTGGTGCGGTGGGAGTCTCCTCCCTTCTTGGCTCTGCCCAGGACAGATGGCAGCAGCATCAGGTGTCTCTGTTAATCTTCAAATGAGCAACTGCGGCACAGACGCAAACGAAGGCCGGGAGCTCACGCGCCGGTCCGCCCGCTGCAGGCCACCATCATTACTGCTGATGAATGTGTCTGTGTGGAATGATAGATAATCAAGAGCCGAGAGTGTGCACAGACGGACTGAACAAACGTTTGTAGGTGAGACCAGCAGCACCGGCCTCAGGAAGTGAGAGCAACAATTTTAATGGCATGAAGATAAGATGAAGATTGTTGCAGTTTCAACAGCAATGTGATTCAATCACCTGACCAAACAGACACCTGACAATCACCAGACAGTTGACAGACAACATTTTCATGATCAAAGCCAATCTACTAAAAACGCTGCTACGCTTCTTTTAAATGAAACAGAATCTGAGATCAGCAGTCAACCTCACTGTTTGGGTTTTTCACAATTTTACAGAGTAGAAATAAAATAAGATTTAAAAATTCAGACAAGCATTTTGTGAGGCTCAACATAGAAATTCAACTAGATCTTCTGTTAAGCAGCAGTGCAGGTCATCTGACCCAAGGTCTAGGCACCGAGGTGAAAGGAGAGTCCACCAGAGGCTCTGTTTTCACCAGCAACAATAACTATCCTAACTCTATGGGGTGAACCTCATCTCAGAATTGTCTCTCGACTTAAATATTTTTCTTGCAGTAAGACAACAACGATCGAAGGACCGTCATCCTCAAACGTAACCATTTTATCAAAGGATTTCAAAGAGTCAGGAAGAAATCTTTGTGTGTGAAGTCTACAAGATCCAAGGTTGATAACTACAAAAAAGCCATGCTACGATGGTGGTGGACAGTCAGACGTACTCTGAAGATCTGAGTCAGTGAAGGTATTTGCATGTACAGAGTAACATTAGAAAATGTGAGGGTTGAAAACCCACTCCTGTGGTGACAACTTTTCTGAAAATTTCACAGAATTTTCAGGGAGAAACTTAAAAAAGTATGCATCTTTGTATACAAATTTGCGTGTGCCTGACTGGCCTGCCTGCACGCTAGATGTGGTTACTGTCTGGTGCACCATGAAGAGGAGAAGCCTGTGACTGTGAAGTCTCTCTATATTTTATGCAGCAACAAAGTGAAATAAATTTTACTTGTAAAGCTGCAACAACATGTCTTTTGTACAAATTTATTCAGGAAAATACCTTAATATTTAGAGACTTTTCCATTACCTTTTTCAGCTCAAGTCAAATTAGTTACATTTTTGGTGCTTTCGCTTAAAGAGGTGGAATTACTTATCTGGAGATGATAAGCTTTGTAATTTAGTCAGCAAATGTTTTAAATTTATGACCAATATAAAGGTGGTGACAAAATGAACGGGGGGCAGAATAACAGGGTTAGTTATTGAGTAACCATTTGCTGACATGACAGCTCAGCTCCACATCATGATAAGCTCAATCCCTTCATTAATTTAAGCAGACAGAGATGTCATTCAGCAACAGCAGATCTCTGGTAATAACCACAAGACGCTGTCAAAAAACACAACAAATGAACAAAAATGTCCCCTTGTCCTCTGTCATGAAACAAAGATGCTGACACATGACATTTATACGAGGATAGTTGTTTTGAGTTTCTGCAAAACGTTTACTTTGGTTAATAAGTCACAGACTGAGAGCCAGGGCTGTCATGTGACCAGAGGGCAGTCAGAAGTGAGAATACATCAGTTCAGTAGAAACAACTGTTCCCTGTTTTCCTTTTCACTTCTCCTTTATTCTTACTTTGGCTTCTGTGCAAATTCACATGGTTTCACTGCTCAAATTTAGAACTGTGGTTGCAGATGTACAGATTAAACTCTTAGCAATTTGATTATTTATCAACCATCTTTAAATGTCTAAGGAAACGACTCAATATATTTATAAATGTATCCCGGCTTCGACAAATCCAGTAACAATTGCTATGATGTATCCATATTTTAAGAGGTCAACAAACTAAACTCCAGAAAACTTCAGCAACGCAATATTTATTAGTGCAGTTCCTTATAAACCTATGTTGCAAATTCTATAAAACACATCCAACTAAATCTAATACTTTACAGTCAAAAAACAAAACTAAACAGAAAATGTTGTTGCAGTTCTAGGCCAAACTGATTGGACTCCCCACATACAACTGACAATATTCGCAAAGAAGTATTTTTCAGGTGAAATATTGTTTTGCCAGGGTGTTCATACTGAAAACACAGCCTGCAACAGAAGTAGTTCTGTCCATTTCTTATATATGATCAAAATGCAAGACGTGTTTTTACTTCAGCCTTCAAACCTACTAAACCTTACCCCAATATCAACTTATGATTTATTATTATTATTATAAACCTTACCCCAATATCAACTTATGGGTCATAATCCACCTTTAGCACAAGGTAAAGCCTCACAGTCAATTGACCTTTTGGTTTAAAATGTTAAAAATCGTTATAATATAAAGTCTTCGCCGTTTAGACGTGTGTTTGAAACCAGTCAATAAGGCCAATAAAATAATTAGATGAAATCCATATCAGCACTGAAACCTGTCCCGTGTAAACAGGCGGCTCAGTCCAGCCAGTCTAAAGCAGAAGCTACGATGCTATGACTGAGTGACAACACTGCCTTCCACTGTCCAAAATGTACAATTATATATTATTGAATATAATCATGCAAAGTCAACAAAAACATTTATCCTTACAGCTGTGCTGAAGCAGGACACTGCGCAAAAACTGGGAGCTAAATAAGACATTAGCCACCTGGCTAACCAGAGCTAATCAACATGCACAACCTGTTTCTATACTTATATAAGCTTGTTAGCCTTAAGCTAATTGACTAGCGTTAGCTGGCACCGACACAACCAAAAAGACTGCTAAATACATACATGCATGATGAAAACATGTGATAAAAGTGCTTAGCTTTGTGAACGGCTAACGTTTGTTGTCACAAGTGACGTAGCGTTTATGTCCTGAAAGAAAGCTAGTGAATACACAGTTAGCATCCATGCTAACTCCCTGGTTTCAGACACAAATAGACTCACACTTCCAAGATCCGGTCTCCTTTCGATATCCCGGCTCGGTCAGCGGCTCCTCCGGGCAACACCGCGCTAACATGCTGGAGGGGAGCGTACAATTCGCCGTTGATACTCCGTAGCTGCCCTCCTTCGCTCACTTGACCGCGGACATTGAATCCATATCCGGACTCGGACTTGACTATTCTCACCATCCGTGGACCCGACATGACCGTTGCCACCGACGAACCCAGCACCGGACCATTACGGGATGCCGATGGAAGAGCCGAGCGAATTTCATCGTCTCCTACATCCGCCATCTTATCCAGACTGTCCCGCTCGCCTCTGTCTCCTGTCGGTGTCTGCTGGAGAATTCAAAACAACACAGGGAGGCTGGTTCAGGCTGTGTCCCTTTGGAAACGTTAGCTCCACAGACCGACTCTGTTGTTGATGACCCGCCCCTACAGGCGTCACAAGACACGGACACCCAACGTGACCTCCTCCGAAAGGCGTCACTGAGTGTGTTCATACCCCGTATTCTTTCCTGTTACAACACACTGTACAGTTCAGGTTCAGGATTTTGTATTAGTATTTAGTTTGGGGGAAAAAGAATTAGCTCTAATTGTAATTAATTATAGCCGGAAATAGCACCACAGCTGAAGCCTAACCCAAAAAACTATCATCTTAGTTTTTACTCGTTAAATTCAACTTTGTAACAATCCTTATGAAAGTTACTAAACTTTAAAAACATGATTTTTTTATAACTCAACCAAAACACCGAACGGACATTAAGTCAACACAATAATTATAATAATAAACATAACACAATATAAAAACACACTTAAAAAAGGGATAAAAAGTCGCTACACTTTTTAACAAACTGAGAAGTGAAGGTTTATTTTCTGCAATTTAGACTTGAGGTCCTCAAGTGAACTACACTGAAATAAAAAAAGACGGGGGTTCCGGGAAAAGATATGCCTCTACACAATATTGTCAATATACTATTTAAGTTACTATTTTTTTTATGAACTTTACATTCCATATAATTATTATAATTGTACCACACCCACACACAAAATATACACCGTTATGTTTAACGCAAAAAAAGTTAAAACAAAAAAAGAACTTTATTTGATTTGCTCTGCATTTCATACATAATTTCAAGCAATAGTCACTACGAATTCCTTCATTAGGTTTTCTATAAAAAGAAAGTGTTGCCGTGATCTCTATGCTGGCCACAGGGCGGCGCCTAAACCTCTACTTCTTGCCGATGAAGTACTCATGGCACATCTGAGTGAGACAGCACACCAGAGTGACAAACTCGTTGAAGTCCACGCTGTTGTCTTTATTCCTGTCCAGGTCCTTGAAGATGCGATCTACCGCCGCCTTGTCATTGGCTTTCTGGTGGGGGAATAAGGAAAACATTATATAATCGTATTTTTATATTTGTCAGTAGAACATTGTGACTTGCACAACCAGCTGCAGAATCAAAAGAAAAGTGCATTTACCACTTACCCCCAACAGGGTTCCAAGCTCATTCTCGAGCAGCTCCTTCAACTCGGCTTTATTCAGGCTGAATTTGTCGCCCTCTTTGCCTGAGTATTTATCAAAGGCATTGATGAGCAGAGCCATGGCTTGCTGGATGTCAGACATGGTGGTAGCTACAAAAGACACAACGTAACAAACAAACACTCTTTAACAAATGTGTCCGTTTGCAGTCGTCTTGGCTGCAATGTCATAAAAACATACATTAGAATTCAACCTCTCGGTATTAACAGGATAAACAATTCTCAAGTAAAATTATCACATTTAGAAAGTTGATTAAAATGAAGTTCGGAAGAATAAAGATGCTTTGGCTCCATCTAGTGTCAGACTTGAGGTCTGCCACAGTTTTTTTTTCCCTCCAATGAAGAAAATTTATTTCTGAAGTTTTCTAAACTACAGAGCTAAATGATCAACAGTCTTACAACAACATGCCAAAGATACGACTGTCAGGATCTCTGTGATGTATTTCCTTGGAAGGAAACACCAGGCAGTAAACTGAAGAGATCAGGTTCAACACCCGACCCACAGAGACCTAGCGACTTCCCACCCACTGGGCTACAGCCTCCACAAACAAAGAAACAAAATGGACCATGGTGTGTTTAAGTTTTTTTTTTGTGTATCTAGTTTTAATTCTTATGAAAATGATGCCCAGTTTTTCATTATTTACACAGATTCTCATAACCTTTTATATAAGCATGAAGAGCGACTGACATCATTGCTTTTGTCTCTGCCAGTTTTTTTCCTCTGAGTTTCCAGTGATGCTGGATAAAAATAAACCCTAGTTTCCACCAGGGCACAAACACTCGTACTGTATCTCCCCAAGTTGCCAGTCCCACAAAGTGACAACGGAGATTGTTATGGCAACAGGTAGAATCTTCCAGGTAACTGAGCAGAAGTAGTTAAAGAAGCAGGTTAAGACTTGATTCAGGTCCCAGTGGTGATAACGGAAATCTGTTTCGTTAGCTGTGTGTCTGAAAGGATTTTCTTCCAACTGACTCTTCAACCCCGAGAGAGTTTGTTCTGGTTACATTCTGACTCACATGCTGCTGCTGCTGCTGCCTCCCCCCCCGGGGTGTGGCCGCTGAGGAACTTGTCACATTATGAGGGTTGTACACAGATATAAAGTGTTTAAGATGAAAGCTTGAAACACAAAACCTTTCCTTGGTCAATCAACAATATTAAGTACACACTGCACCATATGAAAAATGTTTCATGCTTTAAGCCATAACTGCCATGTTGCAGCATCTGGTTCAGAATAACACAAAATAAAAATATATGATCAAATATTCCCTGATCTGAACCTTAGGTGCACCGTTAATTTAAAAAAGAAAAACTTGGTTTAATTTTCTACCCACCTTGGATGAGAGTCAGAGAGATGGAGTGAAAGTCAGTCTTGCAGGAGCAGGAGTGATGTAGAAACGGATGCTGCCGATCCTTTATACCTCACCACTCCCACTGTCCCTCCTCTTCTTCGTCTTTGATCTACATCCACGCCTGCCCAGATTCTAGGTTTTCTCTTAGCTGCTGCTTTTCCTCCCAGGAAAGTCAGATTGTTCGCAATTAGTAAACAGTAATTTAATGTCAGGAAAAAGAGGGAACATTGCATTACTTTTTAAAGACCTGAGGACATGCAGCGGCTCAAGTTAATTTGTTTCTTTTTGAACTTTGAAACTAAACACTTCAGTAAGTCCAAATATTAAGGAAGTATTTACGATGGACGTTTTCATTTTTATTAAAGTTTTTGGGATTAAAATCACAATGTCATGCAAGAAAAATGTTTTTTCTTAAATCATTTAAATTGAACAGTGTGTATTGTGACTTTCTTAAGTGGTCAAGATAATCCAAGAGTGGAAAATACACCCATTAGGTGGCAGTAATATAATATTTAAAAATATAAAGAAGTGATTCAGAAGTGAATGGAGTTCTCACAGCCTTTCTGATGCAACCTTACCTGGGGTCGGCGTGAGGGGGAACTGAACCAAGAACAGGCATCTCTCCAGCCCCCTATATTCTGAATAACAAATATAAAAAATATTTGCAATAAAGATCACAATTTTAAGAACATTGTTCAAGTTGCAAAGTACAGTTTGTAATGACATTCCACAGTGATGAACCTCCGGCTCCCGCGTGTCTGTTAGGAGGTTGATTCATTATATCCAGTGAACCGGAATGATCATATAAACCAATAATGTAGCACCACACCTTCATGGACCATGGCATTCAAACTGCAATTACAGCTCCCTCTGCAGGGGAGGTGGTGGGTCCAGTCATTAAATCAAAGAAGGTAATTACTTTGTGCACTGTGTAAAAACATGGTAATCCAATACATCCTCCTCAGTGAAGTAGGGCTCCAGATGTAAATAAACAATAGAACAAACTGTGAGGTTAAAAAAACATTTGTGGGAATGTTTCTTCCACAACAGTCACCTTTGGCACCTCTGGCCTGGTCAGAACCTTACTTCCGGTCCGCTGCAGCCCATGGTGTCACACTCTAAAAGCAAAAGAGAAATTGTTAAGCATTTGTTGATTTTTCATTTTATGAATTTAAACATGACAACCTCTGCCTCGGTTGTTTCATATTTCAAAACCGGACTGTAAGTCTCTGTTGCAATGTTTTGGTGTGTTTTTGTTCTGGTCAACCTCCGTGGCGCAGCTCTGTGGTCAGGGATGTGACTCAGTCCTGACGTGTGTGGTCTCCTGTCTGACTCCAACTTCACTTATCAACAGTCTACAGTTACTGTGATCTCTAATTAACAAATGACTGAAAACACTACAGGTTGGAGTTGAGTTGTGACGTCATTCTTATTTTCAGCGAAATACGTTTGTTTTATAAACGAAACCTCCTCTGTTTTATTTATAGACCGAGCTGTACTTTTTTTCTTCCTGCATGGAAAACATGACCGGGACTTTTCTGACCATCTCCCTTCCTAATCCAACAACCTTCAGGGAGGACGTAACCATGGTAACCACAGTATATTCAATATTTGCAGCCATGATTCATGCGCAATTCTTTGCAACAGCGGGACCAGCTGTAACACAAAAGTATAATCACTAAAAAAACGCCATCTAGCGGTTAAACAGAGAAACCTTTCAACATTCGAGTCTTTTTTCGACTACATCATAAAACAAAGTCACAAACAAGTCTACTAAACAGGCGAGGCACCGATAACCTCTGGAAAAACCACAACCAAATAGGAAGTCAATCATAATATAATGTGCTGAACACTGACAATTTAACAATTTAAATGCTGTGTGTAAAGTACTTGTGTTTGTGAACAAACTCTCAATATTTATTCCAAATGTATTAAAAGTTCAAAATGTATTTAAAAGCGGGTGTCAACCCTATCCTGGAGTTAACAGAGACTTTTTACTTACACACGGAAACACAGTCAAACACACCGCCTTACAATACTGTATCTTAGCAACTTCAGTATTTACTCTGTAGGCACTTATTGGCAAGCCTTAGTCACAGTCACAGAGTTGGGGGAAAGGGTTGGTTTTTGCCCTGCGTTATGTCTTGTAGGCACAAGTTCTACAGGCTGTTCTAATCCAACTCTGGCAAACTTTCCCCTGGGATCGCTTGCCTAAACTTTACAACACATAATCCAAGATTAATAGTTGAGATTAGTTAAACATGTTTGTGTTGGCGCATGATTTAAGAAAGATTGCAGAGAAGCTCAGTGAGGAAAGAGTTTCTTTTCGGCTCAGGGAGAGTTGGGAGGCGGAGTGATCCTCTTCCTCTCCCAGTCTGGTATTTTCCAACTTTATTCAGACATGGAACACAAAGAGAAAAAATTTGGTTGGTGAACCGGCGGTATGCTGACTTGTGCTGAACCCTGTGACTCAGACTCTCCTACTTCCTACTGTAGGGCTCAGATTAGACACACAGAAGGGCCGAGGCACCATATACACCATGTTTCCCCATGTATATATATATACGTATATATTTTATATATATATATAGGGAATTGTGCCATAAAGATCTCAGAAAGGTGTGTTCATGATATGAGCATTGTACAGATTCCTCAGGGAAGAGATAATGCTGATGGTCGTGCAGGGAGACGTCGGTCTAAGCTTTACAGCTCTGTGAATTATAAAGAAGGCGAGAGGTACATGGACACACCCTGTGTTTACATAAGAGCTCCTGGAGGAATCCAACCTCTAGAATGGGCTGGGAAACAGCTATGACAAATATTTATAGTCTTTATGTCAAGTCTAGCTACAAGTCTGATCATGTTGAACGGACACGTTCTCTAACAAGGAAATGTAACGACAACACACACACACATATTAGACAGAGTGGGTTTGAATTTCTTCAGTGTATTTAATGGACTTTAAATTGTATTAAAAAAATGAAATTTTGAATTCTTCTCCTTCTGACGTCTTGTGACATCCTTACTTCCTAAAGCTCCTTTGCTTCATTTGTGCAGCGTAGCATTGCTCACAGGCAATCGATAGTCCCACAACCAGAGAAACAAACTCCTCAAAGTCCACTTGGTTGTCGCCGTTGGCGTCTAGGTCCTTCATGATCTTGTCCACAGCAGCAGGGTCTTTCTGAGACTGGAAGACATCAGAAAAACAGTTCAAAGTTATAGTCATGGAGGAACGTGTTGAGTTCTGCCCTCTCTCTGACCCCCTCTCACCCTCAGGAAGTTGGACAGCTCGTTCTCCATCAACTTCCTCAGTTCAGCGCGGTTGAGTCTGCCGTCCTTGGCGTAACGGTGGAACACCGTGATGAGGGACTCCATGGCGATTTCCAGTTCTGAAGGCATCTTTGTTGGAGGTTTTTGTTTCCACACTGAAAATAATATGACAAGACTGTTGAAGAAATGTGAGAATATTATCAACAATGAACTCATTCACTGCAAACATCCCACATGATCGTTTAAAGATCTCCATACAAAGGCACAAAAACATTAGAATGTCAACTATATCATGTCCTGATTATTAGTAAATGCTTGGTGACTGTTGTTTCATCACTTTGGAATGATTGTTGGCACGATAACGTCAAAGTGTGGGTGGGAGTCTTTGCTCGACTTTGCCCAGTGGAGAGTAAGTCACAGCAGAAGTGAGATAAGGTCTGTTATTACCTTCTTGTTTGCAGTTAAAGCCAGAGTAACCACAGCAGCTTAGTGAGATTTAAAAGATTTAAAACATCAATCCACACCATCACACCGTTTTTAGCTGTTTTTTTTTTAAGAGTGAGAAACTTCAGCTGGAGGCTGAAAAAAAAAAATACCAACGCCCCCAAATGATGCAATTGAATGCTAAAAACACACCCCAGAAGGGTGTGTACACAGTTTCTCCTCTTTGCCCTTTGACCACAGGGTCGATGGACTTCACATTAAGGAATTGGAAAAAGAGAAATACTGTATAAAATGTACAGTACAGCTGTTAGATGACGAGTTAAAACACTTTAAAGTTCAAGTTTTAGTCAACATCCTACTGCTATAGTTAATATAAACTTCAGTTACGGCGTTACTTTGTAGCAGGCAGTGAAATAAAACAGCCTCACCACAGACACTCCACGCTTCCCTAAAAAAACCACGTAACACTACAGACAAAAAGATCAACAAACGTCCAACACGTCCCTGCTACAGCTGTGTCTGAAGACAACATGTGAACAAAAGTCTCGGCACAGAAGCAGCAGCGAGAGGTGGATCTTACCGTGCAGCGTTCAGCAGAAGAGTGAAGGATCAGGAGGTTGGAAAAAGTGAGGCAGGAACTTTATAGTCAGGCAACGCCCAGGGCTGCTGTGTGAGCAGTGAGTCAGGCTGAGAAATGAAGACTGGAGAGGCTGATGGTGGGACTGTATCCACACAGCACTGGGCCACATACAGTCAATACTCCTGCAGTAGACTTCAGACCAGTTCTGGTCATTTCAGGTCAGTCTTCAAACCAGAGAAGTCCTGGATGGATCAAACCTGAAATAAACAGAGATTTCAGTGTTTTATTTTTAAAGTGATCAACAGGATGAATAATACACACAGAATGGGTGAAAGGTCACACAAAATACTATTTTCAAGTTGCCCAGATTGTTTTGGATTAGGTCATTTTTTAAGAGAAAAATCCTCTGACTTTAACTTTAATTTAAGACTTGAATGTATTTAAACAGATTCTGAAGGATAATTTAGTTCCATTAGAATTATTCTAATTACAACAGTGTGTATTGTGTTCAGTTGATGGGATGAGTACCAGACAGTGCTGATTTAATCAACGCTTCACATCAAACTGGAACCAAATACAGTACATTGATAAATTGTGAGTAGTTTCCGAATTTCGGCAGATCACAAACAATTTGACGAACCTTAAAACCGCAGGACGAGTTCACAAACAATCCATGAATATATACTGTATATATATGTAAAAAAAATCAATGATTAGTTCAAACTTCTATTTCGTTGATCTATGTGGTGTCAATGGATGACATTTTACTGAGCGGTGGCGCCATCTTGTGGCGACAATTTAGTCTTACATACTACGTGTCACAGTATACATATTCATTTGTGTTTTTCTTTGCATAGTACGTGTACGTGCATTTGTGCACCCGCGTGAACCAAAGGATTTGATAGTAGTAGGCTGCAATACCTCGTATCATCACTGGGGGTCACTGAAATTATACAAGTGAGAACAAACCTCTTTAGGTAATGAACAAGAGTGGAAGTAAAAACAGAAAATAAAAGCTGTTCGACCAAATAGAATATATAAAATATTCAACATTCATATTTGATTTCTCTTTAATATCTTTAGACATAATAAATGTAAACACTGGCTGCATCCCACCTCAGTGAGTGGCCAACCCCCCCAGTTTGGGAACCACTGGTTTAGACAATGTAAAATAACTGGTCCTCTAAATGTAGAGTAAGTGTTCAGGAGGGTCCGGTGGTCTGCTCCTGTGTCCACATCCATCACACAGACGCTCTGTCCCTTCCTGTGACATCAGGCTCTCACCGCTGTGCGCAACATCACATGAAGGTAACCGGCGGTGCAGGATGGGAAAGCAGGGGGGTTAGAGTGTGTCTGTGTGAGAATTACATCCACAGGCGTCTGCTGCTGGACACACACCGACATTAACGCACTTTTCTGCGTCTGTTTTCGACCTGAACTGAAAAAAAGTGACTGTTTTTTTTTTTTGGTGCGTAAAAATATTCAGATCGACTGTCTATTGATCTTTCACCAAACGGGAGAAAATACCCTTTAGGTTTCCTCAGGAATACTGAGCAACCAAAAGATAGGTTACGTTTCGTCTCTCTCTCTTTAAGGTTTCCTCACCGGGAATACTGAGCAACCAGAAAATAGGTTACGTTTCGTCTCTCTCTCTTTCTCTCTCTCTCTTTTAAAGTTGTTTATTCAGAGCCACAGGATCTTTGATGATCCGGACACATCGCGGTTTACGTCCAGATGATGAAACCCTGGAGGCAGCGTCTCTAAAATGGCAGAGATGGACGTGAAGTCAGCAACCATGGACGCGTTGGTTCGCATCAGCGTGAGTAAACGGACGCTTTATTCAGTTCATATCGGATTTCAATGCCGCCGTTTGATATTTGTGGCTTTTATCATGTGTTTTTCGCGTGCATGTGTGTTATTAATAAGCCACCATGACAACAGTGTGTGTGTGTGTCTCAGAGCGTCTCTGGTCCACAGGCCTGCAGCCCTTATTTTTGAATCTATGTCTCCTCCCAGAACGAAGGCACTGTAGTAAAACCGTACCTGGTACCGTCTGTACCACCTCGGTGTTTATGAAACGCGTGCAGATCAGATCTACTATGATTTCCTGACCTCCTCCTCCTCCTCCTCCTCAGGCTCCATCGGGGGTAAATGTTCCTCAGTGTTAGAGGTGAAGGTTTGTGTTGTTGACATTTTTTTTAAAAAAATGTCTTTGTGGAGTAAAACAGAATGTAGGTTAAATAAAATAGACGTGTCTCATTTTTTCTTTTTTTTTTGCGGAGGTGGGGGGTTCGTTTCCATGGTGACGGGATGCGGGACATTCGGCTGTTGCGGATGTGGACGCTGTTCGCAGCCTCGACCCCGTTGGTTTGAACATTTGTAATGAATTTGCTACAAGTCGGTTAAGAGCAGCCGGAAATAATATTAATAGTAAACACATAAATATCAGGGTTTAGTCATTTTACCATGCGGTGAGGCGGAGGAAGATGAGGAGGAGGAGGAGGTGTGGTGCCTCAAGCCCCTCCTCTCTTCCAAGTCTCTGCCTCCTCTCCATGATGGGGATGCGCATGTAGCCTCCTCCTGCTGCCGCTGCTGCTGCTGCTGCTGCTACCATGGCGCCCAGATTCCAGGTGAAGGTAAGGATGATGATGATGATGACGGGAGTGTCGCAGTTTGAAGCCGGCACCGCGTCGCCGTCGGTCTTTTAGCAGAGCCCACAGACCAGTTCTGATCAGACTGCACTGTGTGTCGGTGCCTGGAACAACAATGCAGGCTGAAATTGCGACAGTGGGGCTAGTAGGAAACTGCAAGAGAAGGAGAGGGAGACAGGCCTGAGTGGATATGACATTGGAGAATGACACAGAGAAAGGCGTGAAAAGGAAATGTAGAGCACGGGTTATCTCCAACAAGAAGCTGAAATATTGATGCTGAAGTTTATTTTAATGCTTTTTAATTTTGGACTAAAAAAAAACGTGGATGGAGTTGTAGTATTTTAAACAAGTGGTTCCTGCTGTGCAATTACTGGATGTTGCCACTACAATTAATTGTATTTGTTAAGTTCCTCACACTACAGTATGATGGACACAACATTATTTTGGAGTCAATGCACCCTTGTAGAAACACTAGTGATCACAGAGTTGTAGCATGTGCTGATGCTGCATCACACCACTCACCCACACATCACACCCAGCCCACACTTAGAAACATATATACATAAAAATATACATAAAGAAATATTTCACTAATTTTCCTAAAGAATTTTTGTTTTTCATTTTGAATCTGATCTATTCATTTAGAAATCACCCTCAAAGAAAAAAAGGCTTTTCTCATTTTGAATCTGATCTATTCATTTAGCCATTACACAAACTAAAGGTGTGTGTTACCTGTAATGCTCCAAACTCAGAGATAGAAAAAAGAGTACAGATGTCCATATGTCTAGGTTGTACAAAACTATCAAATGTTTCCAGGAGTCAGAGATATTATTTTAAAATGAGCTAATAAAAAACCAGACCCAGAACATGGCTGTGAGACAGAAACAGTAGCATACATGCAGTAAATATGTCCTGGCCTAATTTCTGAAGTGAACTCATCGTCTCTGATGTGAATGTGTTTCCAGCGTCTCTGCAACACTTCTGCTACAGCATGTAAATCAAAGGTTGACGCAGGGATTTCTCTCGTGGAGAAATGACTGTTACTTATTTCAAATGATGAAAATAGAAGTATTATGGCCAGATCGTTCTCACTCAGGGATGTCTACTATATGTCAAATCTACGACCCTGACAGGAGCACAGACACCTTGAGGAGAGCAGTGACACTGAAGCTGCCCTGGTTTTTCACCTGCTTCTTCAGCACTACACAGTTTATAGAGCAGCATTAAACTGAGCTGCCTATTCAGCACAGACAACAGACAGAGGCATAAACCTATAATCGAACTCTACTTCCTGTGGTGAAGGAAAGTGATTAAAAGTATAAATGCACCAAAAATCACCCAAATTTCACCAAAGTATTTAAAATGAATCTTAAAAGTTGAATGAAACCATTAGTTCACCAACCTTAAATAGCTGTAAAATAGACATAGAAACAGTTCAAACTGAAATAACAATTGCTAATATTTGTAGCCAAAAGAATCACCTCAAAACCTGCAAGAAATGTGGCTAAAATGGCTAAATGTTTGCCAAAAACAGCAGTTTATTTTTCATTTTTATAACCATAAAATAAACTATTCTAGCAAAACTAAAAGCTTCAACATAGTGTAGCTAAATGGATAAAACACTGTTTGTCTGGTGATAAAAATACCCTGAAATATTCAGTTACAGTGGCCAAATGATCCCAGTTTGTTAAAACACCAGCTTCCCTCCTGGTCCTCATCACTTGGACTTCACTGAACTGGACATGATGTTCTTGCATCACAGGACAGTACGTACAAACATCAGTGCTGCCTCGACACAGGAGCAGTCAGAGTAGAAGCAGTGACATCCTGTGGACAGATGTTCTTGGTTGTTAGTGATTTAAGTTGTAAAGATTTATATCCACATGTTGAAACGATGCAATAAATAAAGGAAATATAAGAAGCACGTCCTTATAAAACACATGTATTGTTTATGAAGCAGCTTGTGTTCCCATGCAGGGCAGCACTGTGTGCAGTGGTTGAATAATTAATGTCAGGTATTTATATTTCAGAGCAATGACAGTAGGTGGCAGCCTTTCCCACTGGCCTGTCTCCTCACATTAATGCTTTCTTTCATGATATTCTACCTTCTTCAGTAACGTCCTGCTGCACTTTTCTATATTTAGATCTAACTCTAAACTTCAAAACTTGATCAATAATGTAGTGATTTCTCTAACGCTCCACAGTCCAACATGAAGAGCCTGGAGCAGGAGCTACACTGTCCGGTGTGTAAGGACATCGTCAAACAGCCCGTGGTTCTGCCATGTCAGCACAGCGTCTGCCTCATGTGTGCCTCAGAGGTCCTGGTGGCAAATGGCTACGCACCTCCGGACCTCCCCCCAGAGCCCAACTCACCGGCCTCCACACCCAACACCCGCTCACCCCGTCAGGCACGAAGGCCTACGCCCAAAGCTGAGCAGAGACCTCTGGACCGTGTGCTGCGTTCAGGTGAAGATGAAACGGCCTGTTTGATGCCTCAGAGAGTTGTCGGTGTCATGTAAGTGGGTTCAAATCCCAGGTGTTTTAACCCAATGTCCCTCTTGCTTCCAGGTCCCCATCCGCCCTCGCCTTCCATGCCCAGATCCCCCGGGTATGGGACACGGCGTCGTAAGGAGGGTCCACCCGTGGTGATGATGTTCCCCTGTGTGCCATGTGGTCGAGATGTGGACTTGGGAGAGAAAGGTCTCACTGACTGTCTGCGTAATCTCACCCTGGAACGTATAGTGGAGAGGTTGGTGATACCACAGCAACTTTAAAAAGTAGTTAAAAAAGTATTAGTTCCTGGTTCTACAGAAATCTGTCCTAAAGATGGCGTCCCTCAGGCATCAGTTCAAGGACCTCTGGTCTTCGTACTCTTGGTAGACTTTGCCAGATTCTGGGTCAAAACTTACTGACAGGTCAAAGTATTTTTTTGGATACACTTGGTGAATTGAAAACTAGGACAGCAGAGACAAACAGGAGAGCAAGGATACGCGCAATAAAGTTCACACATCATCGTCTCATAGAGCTGATGATGGAGAACATTCTGCATGGATCAAATCCATGACTCAGATCTGCACAGCAGAAGAAGGTGAAGGGCAATTCAATCATTCTGATACTAAACCAGTGCAACACACACCGTGACAGTGTCTTTATCGACTGTGTTATTATCATTTTGTTCTTTATTCTTTGAAGAGTTTGATTTCTTAACGGTTCAATTTCTGCTGCCCCCTGCTGTCCTCTACAGGTACAGACACACAGTGAGCCTGGGCAGTGTTGCCGTCATGTGTCAGTTCTGTAAACCTCCCCAGGCTCTGGAGGCCACCAAGGGCTGCGCTGACTGTAGGTCCAACTTTTGTAACGAGTGTTTTAAGCTGTATCACCCGTGGGGGACGCCACGGGCCCAACATGAACACATACAGCCCACACTCAACTTTAGACCAAAGGTACGATACTAAACTGTTCACGGTTGATTCTGTCAACCGTCCATAACTCAGTCTGTGGTCTATTCCGAGACCTTTCAGGCTAAATATAATTTTTTTGTGAAATATAATTTTTAGATATTATTAAAGCAGATACTAAACTGTTCACCGTTTATTCTGTCAAACGTCCATAACTCAGTCTGTGGTCTTATCTGAGACCTTTCAGGCTAAATATATTTTTTTTGTTAAATATAATTTTTAGATATTATTAAAGCTTAGAATTAAGAAGTTTTTCTATTTTTTAGCCAGCATTTCTTGTTTTTTTTTTCTTATCTGTCCCCTGCTCTTCCTCAGGTTTTAACCTGTCCGGAGCACGACCAGGAGAAACTGCAGTTCTACTGTCGGTCCTGTCAGCGGCTGCTCTGTCCTCTCTGCAAACTGCGACGCATCCACACAGGACATAAAATACTTCCTGTGGCCCAGGCACATCAAGCCCTGAAGGTAGGACTCAGATCTGACTGGAACATGAACTCAGTAGACTTTGGTGCAGAGTTTACAGTTTTGTCTCATCATGACTTTTGTTTTGTTTTTAAAGGAGAAGATTACAAAGGAGATGAACTACATTCTGTCGAACCAGGACACAGTTCTGTCTCAGATCACTCAGCTGGAGAGTTCCATCACACAGACTGAGGTGTGTGGGATTTCATCTTACAGTTTATCAAAAATTATTAATAAACTGGAATTATAATCAAATTAGTAAAAAGGCCCAGATATTTAAGCATGAGGGTGGCTCTGTTATGGTTTGGAGCTGCATTTCCTGACAACTTATCCAATATTCAATGGCTACTACTGACTGGCAGTGTATTCGGAATATTATTAAGAGGATTTTTCTATCATCCAAATGAGCTGCACTGATCAGCTCAGCCTTCTGTCACAACACAGTATAAAAGAGTGAAGGCCACAGACGGAAAAAAACACTTTTTGTAAACAAGTTGCAGCCATTTGAGTGTCATCACCTGAGTGTAATTTGGACAGTGTGACTCTTCCTGACAGGCTGTTTTGTCATCGCCTGCACATATGGTGTAATCTACACTTGTGTGAGATCATGAATCAAAGCCCTAATCAGATTATAAGGTGTCAGGATGTGCAGCACAGAGAGGAAGAATGACTAAAGAGCAGGTGACACAGTCAAACCTGGTGTTACTGAGTTCACAGCCGTTACGTCTGTCACAGTCTGACATTTGAAAGCAAACACACCTTCGGTAATTGATTTAATTTGTTTGTGTACGACGTAAACACTGTCATCATTGGTAAGCGCTCCCATAGAAAACCCTTCATTTACTGTGAATCAGCACGACCCGAGAGGCGTTGTCAGTTAGCATTAGCTAACAGCTGCCATGTGCTTGAACTTGTCCGTCTGTGTTATTCATCACCAGGTAAACAGCGTCTCAGCCCGAGAACAGCTGGCTCAGAGCATCAGGGATCTGACGGCAGCCCTGGCCGAGCGCCACGCTTCCCTCACGCAGGCCCTGGAGACGGCGCGGCAGAAAAGAGGCGAGGCCTTGGCCGCTCAAGTGACGGAGAGACGCAGCCTGATGGAACACGCAGGGCTCCTAGCTTTCACCCAGGAGCTACTGAAAGAAACAGACCAGCCCTGCTTCGTGCAGGCGGCTCGCCAGACTCACAACAGGTTTGCCATGTGTTCACCATCAGTGGCGTCCATCTCCACACTGACTGAACAGGTGTGAGATTGGATTTACGAGAGAACTTTTAAAAAGAGAAGGTCGAAAGATGTGAGTGAAAGCAGAAGAGGTTCGACGTGCTGTCAGATCTGAAATATTTACTGGGCCTCTAAATAAAAAGACATCTGTTCAGATGGAGTTCCTTTTTTTCACTACAGTTTATGGTTTAAAATCTAAAAGGCTGTTTGAAGGAATAATAAAGCTAAAAAATTAGTTTTTTTGTGACCCAGCTTTGTTTATACTGGATAGCCAGAGGACAGGACGTCATACGGACAGATTCCAAAGCTATAATTAAGAAAATGTCCGTGCACTCACGCAGTTGTCAGTGAACATCGTCCTCCCAAACATCATAAAAGTAACAGATAAACATTTATCTAACCGCCCTCTCTCTGTTTGCCTCTGCCAGGTTGAGTAAAGCGATCGAGAATCTCCAGCATTTCACTCTGGCCGCTGATCCCTCCTTCAGACACTTCCAGCTGGACGTCTCCAAGGAGCTGAAGCTCCTGACGGAGCTGAACTTCATCCAAGGTGAGAGAGGGGAACAGAGGGAGGAGAGGGGAGGAAGTGATCAGAAAGGAGTGGAGGAAGTTGAAGGAAACAAGATAAGAAAGGGAGTGAAGTGGAGAAAGATTGGGATAACTCTCGTCTTTTACACTTCTTCTGTGCCACGAGGTTAAATTGTACTATTTTTTTTTATCCCAGCTCCTCTGGCTCCAGTGATCGACACCCAGCGCACCCTGGCCTACGACCAGCTCTTTCTGTGCTGGCGGCTCCCACAAGACTCGGCACCAGCCTGGCACTTCTCCGTGGAGTACCGGCGCAGGGGCGTGGTCCCAGGAGGTGCATCCAGAGGTGGGTTCAGGGGAGGCTTGGCAGCAGCCAGGTGGGGCTGGCAGAGACTGGACGAAGTGAGCGGAACCAGCGCCGTGATCGACAGGCTGGAGATGGACAGTGTGTACGTGCTGCGGGTCAGGGGCTGCAACAAGGCCGGCTACGGGGAGTACAGCGAGGAGGTGTATCTGCACACTCCCCCTGCACCAGGTGAGATGAGAGTGCACCTCACTGACACCGTACCAGGTGGACTCTGGCACGGAGAAATTCAACTTGACACCACAGAACATGTCACTACAGGAACTCTGTTTCCATAATGGCCTCACTCTAAACAAGATCGATGGATCAATGGATAGATTAATTGATTGATTTTATTGATCCCTGGCTGGGAGATGGATAGATTAATTGATAGATTGATTTTATTGATCCCTGGCTGGGAAATCACAGCCGTTGCTGTACATCAGTTGTTTGACAAACACTGTGGTAAAATTCAGTTAATTATCTGGTCTCCACAGTCCCACTGGGAGGAAGTAGAATGCATAATTGATGACCAGGAACATCTTACCATCAAAAGTGGGGATTTGTTAAAGTGCTGTTAGCTGCAGAGTCAGCTGAAGACTCAGACGCTACAAACCTCCCATGAGTCAGCAGCTGTTGTCAAGACCAAAGACGACACGGACAAGGATTTTCCTATTATTTAAATCTTCAACTGAAGAATGATAAGGGCACAAGAACAAGAACATCACCATCATCATGTACTGTATTTTGAAATGTCTTTTAATTTTTAGTGATACGAATTTTGAATTTCTGAACACTAAAGTATTATTATTATTGTTGTTGTTGTTATTATCAGTTTGCAGAGGAAACATCTCTGACTTGCAGGAGAAGATACATCATTAAAACATTTCCACCTTGTTTTCACAGCCGTCTCCACCTCAAACTCTTTCTTCATCTTCTCTTTCTCTCTCTCTCTCGTCTGTTTTGTATCACTTCCATTTCTCTTCTCTTCTTCACTTCCATGCAGCCAAACTAACCGCCACCGGTGGAACGTAAGACATCACTCATTCATACCGTATTGATCCAGCCCTGATGCATCCCAGCAGCCTTTTCTCTCCTCATCCCATGCTTCCTCGTCCTCCTCTACCCTCCATCTATAAACACCCACTCTCCCTCCGTCCTCCTGTCTGTTTCCTGTGACCAACCCCGGCTGAACAGTTGATAACGTCTGCAGTTTAAAACCTGGATCAGACTCAGATCCTGCTGTTTGATGGTGGTATTTCCTTGAATCCCTTTCTCCTTCCTGCTGGAGCATTTCTTCCCTGTAGATTTATATTTTCTGAATGCTAATCTCGACTCCTGTCCCTCCTCCTCCTCCTAAACG